GGCGTTTAGGGTTTTGGGTTTGGGCTCAGGCTCTCGAATTTCTGGTCCTGTTCTTTGAGGGGGTACCCAACATCATCCAGGCCCTACATGAAAGTTTACGAAAACACGGGGACCCCCAATATAGAGCCCCTAGATGGTGGGTTTAGGGTTTAGGGTTCAGGGTTCAGGGTTCAGGGTTTAGGGTTTAGGATTTAGGATGGCTTAGGGTGTAGGGTTTAGTGTCAGGGATGCATAAAACTTGAAGTCGTCCGCGAACTGCTGGTGGTCTGGGCCACTCGCCTGGGCCAATACAACTGTCCCCATGGCCTCGCGCCGTCCTCGCGATCGCGCGAGCTCGCATCACACGGCTGCAGCCCCCACCCGCGGCGATGGCACAAGGAATTCCGGCCTGCGGCGGCCGAGATGCCACTCCTGCCGGCCAACGTGCCGATAGTGCCGGCTTCAGGTTGATGGCCCGGCCCCTCAGCCCTAAGCCCTCAGCCCTCAGGCCTAAGCCCCAAAGCCCTAAGCCCTAAGCCCTAAGCTACCCCCGCCCCCCCCCAAATTTCGGAAACCCCTAAATGTCAGGCACCCAATGTCTAGAGACAACCGGCTCAGGGAACTTTGGGCAATCCATGGGGGGGGGGGGGGGGGGGTGGGCTGACCTACACTTATATATATATATATATATAATATTTATGGCGTAGGGTTTCGGATCAGGGTTTTAGGTTTAGGTTTCAGGGTTTAGGGCTTAGGGAATATCAACATACTATGATACCCATTAGGAGACCCCAAGATTAGATCGCTTCCTCAAAAAGTGGGAAAAGTCAACACTCATGAATGGAAGCCACCCCCTAAAAACCCTAAAACCCTGAAACCCTCAACACCCTAAACCATACTGCCCAAAACTCTGAAAACCCTGAACCCTAAAGCCCCTTAAAAACCCTCAACGCTAAAATCCTAGAACCCCACCCTAAACACCCGGAAACCCTAAAAAACCCTAAAAATCAAAACCCTACAAACCCTAGAACCCTAAAACCCTACACCACAAAACCTCTGAACCTTAAAATAGGGGATGTTCCCCCTTATACTAACAGTCCTCTAACAGTCCTTAATAGGGATTATCATCAGAATCCCCATTAGGGACTGGTAGCATTAAGGGGGAACATCCCAACCCTAAACCCTGAAATCCAAAAACTAATCCAAACCCGAAACCCAAAACCCGAACCCCTAAATCCCAAACCCTAAACCCCCTAAACCCTAAAACCCTAAACCCTAAAACTCTAAAACTTCTACCAGACCCGGGAGTAAGCTAGGAATAAAAAGGGTACCCTGTTTGGTTTTAAGTGGATTATGAGGGAACCCCAACCCTGAAAAAAGGAAAAAAAAGGGGCCTACTTCCGGTCCTAGATGAAAAACTAGTCCAAACCCTAAACCCTAAACCCTAAACCCCAACCCCTAAACCCCAAACCCCAAACCCTAAACCCTAAACCCTCACCCTCAACGGCTAAACCCCAAACCCTAAACCCTAAACCCCCTAAAACCCTAAAACCCTAAAACCCTAAAACCCTAAAACCCTAAAACCCTAAAACCCTAAAACCCTAAAACCCTAAAACCCTAAACCCTAAAAACCCAAAAGCTTCTCCACCTGCCTGCCCCGCTGCCATGCCAACGAGCCGACATCGCAGGGCTTCGCAGGGGACGAGGTCACCGAAGCCGACGGTTGTCAGAGTCACCAGGCAGAAGTAGACCTGGGGCTTTTTTCCTAAACCCTAAACCCTAAACCCTAGACCCTAAACCCTAAACCCTTGTTTGAGACTTGGGCTTTATGTGGTTTGGGGGGGGGGTGTTGGGTTGAGGGCTTTTACCGTTTTCAGAGTCTCGAGACCTGATGAGGCGTGGGGGTTTATAGGGTTTGGAGGCGTGCACCCTAAACCCTAAACCCTAAACCCTAAACCCTAAACCCTAAACCCTAAACCCTAAAAGCGGGGAGTATTCTGGACCTATCGCGGACCCTAAGCGCTAGGCCCTAAACCCAAGAAAAGACTAAGGACTAAGGGCTAAGGGCTAATTCAGGGTTGAGGGTTAAGGGTTCAGGATTAAGGGTTAATAAGGGTTAAGGGTTTAAGTTTAGGGTCTGGGGATTGTGTGTCAGAACCCTATACCCTAAACCCTGAACCCTCAACCCTAAACCCTAAACGCTAAACCCTGAACCCTGAACCCTAAACCCACCCCCCGCCCCCCTCAGTGCAGATGAGCAGACACCGTCGCCGAAGGACCAAGCACCGTCCGAGAGGTAGCAGAAGACAAGGCTGCAAACGCTCAAGTACGTGCCCACCTGGACCCTAAACCCTAAACCCAAACCCTAAAGTCTAAACCCTAAACCTGGGGGTTTACGAAAATAGGGGACCCCTAACAAAGACCCCCCAAAATAGTAGCATCTCCTTACAATAAAGACCCCACAAAGGGTACCCCGATTTTCGGAAACCCCCACCTGGGCATGGGCATCTAGGATTCGGGTTTTGGGTCAGGGGCTAAGGGTTTTAGGGCTGCGGCTTTATGGCAAGCTCTTGAGGACTTAGGTTTCAGAGTAAATACCAACCTGAGATTAGGGTTTCAGGTATATGGCTTCGGGTCAAAGGAGTTTAGGGTTTAGGGTTGAGGGTTTAGGGTTTAGGGTTTAGGGTTTAGGGTTTACGGTAGGTGTAGGGCTGAATATTCATGGGTTTGGACCGGAGGGTAGGGTTGCCTTCAGGAGCACGCCAAGAAAAAGAAGTCGCCAATTCGGTCAGAATTGCATCTGCGTTTCTCATAGGTTCCCCTACTACCCCCCCCCTGCAGGGTTTAGGGTTTAGGGTTCAGGGTTTAGGGCTACTACCACCCTCTACACAACCCCCCCTAGATTCCTCCCATAATTAAGGCGATGTAGGGATAATTAAGCCTAATTAAGGTTATTTAAGGGGGGGACCTTGGGGGGGGGGGGGGGGGGGTAGTATAGAGGGGGGTAGTAGGGGAACCCACAAGCTGCGAGGACCCGCACCGTCAATTCGAAACCGGTTTCGAGGATTTGTATCGTTGTTTGAGATGGGAATTGTGGGCAGTGCTAACTATACATAGAGAATACAGGAATTTTGTTGATAACCGAGGTCCGGCCCTGAACCCCGAAACCCCAAATGCCTAAAAACGCCTAAACGCGATATAATGAGCCCTAAACCCTAAACCCGAAACCCTAAACCCTAAGCCCTAAACCCTAAACCCTAAGCCCTAAACCCTAAGCCCTAAACCCTAAACCCTAAACCCCAAACCCCTTTCAAAGGCTGCTCGGCCGCGCAGGCCACCACCGCGAGCTCGGCTTCGAATGGTATGTGGTGCTTCGCGGCCAGTGTCCGGGAGACTGTGGGCACGGGCGGCCGAACCACCTGAAGGGTTTAGGGTTTAGGGTTTAGGGTTTAGGGTTTAGGGTTTAGGGTTTAGGGTTTAGGGTTTAGTGTTTAGGGTTTAGGGTTTAGGGTTTAGGGTTTAGGGTTTAGGGTTTAGGGCTGCCGAACCACGTGCCTTTTTAGGGGGTTTAGGGGCTTTAGGGGTTTAGCAAAGCAGAAAGAGCAGAGAAGAGCAGAAAGAGCAGAAAGAGCAGAAAGAGCAGAGAAGAGAAGAGAAGAGAAGAGAAGAGAAGGGAAGGGAAGAGAAGAGAAGAGAAGAGGAGAAGAAAGGAAGAAGTGAAAGGGAAGACGAGAGCCAACAGAGAAGAGGAGAGAAGAGGAGAGCAAAGAAGAGCAGAGGAGAAAGGGTTTAGGGTTTAAGGTTTAGGGTTTAGGGTTTTGGGTTGAGGGTTGAGGGTTGAAGGTTTAGGGCTTAGGGTCCTAAACCCCTGAATACACTCACGAATAGTAGTACTATGAACCCTTGGCTTCACGCAGGTGGATTAAGTTGAAGAGGCTTACAAAGCCGTAAAACCCTTAACCCTATAAACCCCGATGAACACTTCAAATCCTCTAAACCCTTTACATTGGGATGTTCTCCCGCTTTTTCTGACAGTCCTTAATAGGGATTCTCGTGAAGGACTGTCAGTATAAGGGGGGACCTCTCAACATATACACCCTATGAACCCCGTAAAGCCCGTAAACCCTAAACCCTAAACCGCTAATTCCCCTAAAAGCCCGAAGCCTTAAAAAATGCGAGGTTGCCCCGAAGCTCAAGCCCTATAATCCCTAAAAAACCCTATGATCCCACAGTAAGCACTCTAATCCCTAAACACCTTAAAATCCCACCACAAACCCTCCATTCCCTAAACACCCTTAAAAACAAAAAACAGGCAGCCCTGCCTAAAGCCCTACATCAACTGTCGGCAGGCCTGTTCCAGGTTTTGATACTAAAATCCCACAATCGGCCCTCAATTCCCCAAACACCATCTAAAACACCATCTAAAACACCCTAAATCCTAAACCTAAACCGTAAACCCTAAACCCTAAACCCTAAACTGTCGGTAGGCGCCTGTTCCAGGTTTTGATACGTCAGCTGCTGCCCCGCTAAGTCGCCGGAGGTGGCCATGACGCGCTGGAGCTGCCGGCATTGGGTTTGCCTTACGTCGCACTTGTAGGGTTTAGGGTTTAGGGTTTAGGGTTTAGGGTTGAGGGTTGAGGGTTGAGGGTTGATGGTTGAGGGTTGAGGGGTTTAGGGGTTTAGGGTTTAGGGTTAGGGGTTTAGGGGTTTAGGGGTTTAGGGGTTTAGGGGTGTAGGGGTGTAGGGGTGTAGGGGTGTAGGGGTGTAGGGGTGTAGGGGTGTAGGGGTACGCCTTGAAGCAGAGAGACCTATAAAGCCGTCTAAAACAGTTTAAAACCCTATAAAAGCCCTATAAAACCCTGTAAAAACCTCTAACAACCCTGTAAAAAACCCATAAAAACCCGAACACCTTAAAGGCAGAGAGAAGCTCTAAACCCCTCTAAAAGCCACTTTATAAAAATAAACACATACAAACCCCAAAACCCCTAACACCTTTAGAAGCAGAGAGAAGCTGCCAAGGCGGCACGGCCAGCGCGGCGGGAGCTCCCATCGAGACCCCCGAGGCTCGCGAGGCGCCGAGGTGGAGCCGAAAGGGCGTAGGGTTTGGGGTTTATAGGGTTTAGGGTTTAGGGTTTAGAATACTTTAGGGTTTAGGGTTTGGAGTTTAGGGTTTAAGGTTTAGATTGTATGGTTGAGGGTTGAGGGTTGAGCGGAGGTTGAGGGGGGTTTTCGGGAGGTGGAGGGGGGGTTGAGATGATTAGGGGTCGAATGTTAGCTTAGGGCGGAGGGGGGTTTAGCGGGCTTCGGGATTTCGAGTTCATTGACTTACCTTCAGCCCTGCTGGTCCCCATGTAGCCCTGGTATACCCACGCATTCTTCTTGGTGCTGCAGTTTCCCAAGCAACTTGTGAAGGCAAAGGGTGCTTCAAAGGGTGGGGTTTAGGGCCTTTACGGTTTAGGGTTTAGGGTTTAGGGTTTAGGGTTTAGGGTTTAGGGTTTAGGGTTTAGGGTTTAGGGTTTAGGGTTTAGGGTTTAGGGTTTAGGGTTTAGGGTTTAGGGTTTAGGGTTTAGGCTTCTAAACCGCAATACGCTCAACGAGCCTCACATGTTCCTTTTTGCGTGCGGCTCTGTCTAACTCGGAATGCCATTGGCAGTGCCCTTTGGCAAAGCGGTCAACCCTAAAACCCAAACCCTAAACCCTAAACCCTAAAACCTAAAGCCTAAAGCCTAAACCCTAAACCCTAAACCCTGAACCCTAAACCCTAAACCTTAAAACCCAAACCCCAAAACCCGAAAACCCAAATCACACAGGTGTATGGAGGGCGCCCGCGGAGTCGACAGTCGGAGATGGGCCTGCCGGAGCTGCGGGAAGGGAGTTTAGGGTTTAGGGTTTCGGGTTTAGGGTTTAGGGTTTGGGGATTGGGGATTGGGGATTGGGGATTGGGGTTTTGGGGTGAGGGTACTCAGGTGTATACAATCAGGAGACCTTAAAGGCGATTAAATAACAAATAGCTGGACTTTCCAAGCAAACATAAGTCCGATTCTTTTTTGAGGGAGAAGCTACACACCCAAAGTGCCCAGACCGAACAAACCCTGAACAAAGCCCTCAGGGTCTGAGGGTCTAGGGTTTAGGGATTCAGGGTTTAGGGTTTTAATAGGGTTTAGGGTTTAGGGCTTAGGGCGTAGGGTGTAGGGTTTAGGGTTTGCGGTTTAGGGTTTAGGATTTTAGGGTGTAGGGTTTAAGGTTTAGGGAAGCCCATTTTCCTGAACTCTGCGTCCGCCAGTTGATGCCATTTGGCAGGTTCCTGGGGGAGACTAAATGAACTCCAAGATTGGGCCGGCAGAAGTTTAGAGTTTAGGGTTTAGGGTTTAGGCTTTAGGGTTTAGGGCTTCGGGTTTAGGGTTTAGGGTCACTTAGTCCAGGCTTGGAGCGTCGCAGAACAGACGTTCAAAAGCTCGAGCGCTCGAGCAAAAGAGTGAGAGTCGCAATACCCCTCGCATTCCCAGAGGGCCCTACTTGGAGTTTAACCCTTGTAGGGTTTAGGGTTTAGGGTGTAGGGTGTAGGGTTTAGGGTTTATGGTTTAGGGTTTAGGGTACTTTTTTCCCAACTGTAACTGTACTTATAACCCACTTCTGAGCCCCTGAAGTGCCCTAATGTGGTGATAATCGGGTTCTACGTGCAGTTCTACTTGGGTAGCACCTTAACCTTAGTTGCTTCTGGTAGGATTATATGTAACCCAAACAAAGGTTAAAGGTTATCGGCTCAGCTAATAAGTTCATTCAGGAAGAGGATCACGTAGCAAGGTTCAAAGACCACTCTTCGAACTTGATACCCTAAACCCTAAGCCCCTAAACCGTAAACCCGAAACCCTAAACCCTGAACCCTGAACCCTAATCCCTTGATTGAAGTCTTTTGGGATCCTCTGGGTATCATAGGGTTAAGGTTTGAAGGCGTTTGCCTAGACATCCTGGGAAAGATCAGCTGAAAAATTCGAGGCCCCTCAAAGCAAGCAGCATGCGGCTGCTCATCGCCAGTTCTCAGGATTTAGGGCTAAACCCTAAACCCCAAAGCCTGAACCCTGAACCCTGAACCCTGAACCCTAAACCCTAAACCCTAAACCCTAAACCCTAAACCCTAAACCCTAAACCCTAAACCCTAAACCCTAAACCCTAAACCCTAAACCCTAAGCCCTACTCGAGCTTCCCGTAGCCGATCCCTGGGAGCGTTCTTGCAGCTCTGTTCCATCCTCCAGCTCCAGATACCTGGGGTGGGTTTAGGGTTAGGGTTTAGGGTTTAGGGTTTAGGGCTTAGGGCTTAGGGCTTAGGGTTTAGGGTTTAGGGTTTAGGGTTTACGGGTTAGGGTTTCGGGTTTACTTGGGGTTTAGGGGTTAGCAGTTCTATGGGCGATATAGGGTTTACTCTGGGCTTCATTGAGGGTTTTCATCAAAGAGGGTACTAGAGTGCTATGTAGGGCTAGGAGGGGTTAGAAAAGGCATGAGGGCCCATACAGAACTGCAAAACGGACTCCAAACAAACCAAAGGTACGTGGACGGCTGGCCCTTGGCGCAGCGCCTCTGATACCTTGGGGACGAAGTGCCTAAACCCTAAACCCTAAACCCTAAGCCCTAAACCCTAAACCCTAAACCCGTTTAGGGTTCATTTGGTTCCCAAGATACAAGGAGCCGGCCGTGGCACTCCCGCCATCCGCGTCCGTGAGAAGCCGGTCTGTCTGGCGCCCCGCTGGGATGAGGATCCTTACCTTGGAAAGAAAGGGTTTAGGGTTTAGGGTTTAGGGTTTCAGGGTTTTAGGGTTTTTGGGTTTCTGGGTTTCTGGGTTTCAGAGTTTCAGAGTTTCAGGCTTTCAGGGTCTCAGGTTTGCAAGAACAATTCCAGGGTTTAGCGTGCAGGGTTTTGGGATTTCAGCAGCACTTTCCTCTCGAAAGTCAAGAAGCCCGACAAAGCTGGAGTGGCTTCAGCTGCAGTTTGCGAGGCCCCTAAACCCTAAACCCTAAACCCTAAACCCTAAACCCTAAACCCTAAACCCTAAACCCGAGATTTAGCCCAACCAAATCAAAATAACCCACCGTAGGCTGCAAAGGACGCTCTCCCTACTTTGGAGTAAACCCTGGAAAAATGTATAATCCTTTGTAGGCATAGGTAGCGATAATAGGAACGCAGCACCAAAAAAGCAACCCTAAACCCTAAACCCTAAACCCTAAACACCCAGTATTAAAGTATAGTACTCCAAAACCCAGTGTTTTTCATGGCTTTAGATAGCTTCTTGTTTCAAGGACTACAGGGTGCCATGGTCTTGGGGGCGTTAGGAGTTTTAGGCGTTTGCGGCTAAACTGTAATCCCCCAACCCTAAATCCTAAATCCTAAACCCTAAACCCTAAACCCTAAATCCCAAATCCCAAATCCCAAACCCCAAACCCCAAACCCTAACCCCTAAACCCTCACCCACAAATCGTTGTCACGGCCCAAGAGGGTCCCAAAGTACCTGGTTAAGGAACCCAAACTACGTTACCATAATAACCCCTTAAACCCTAAACCCTAAACCCTAAACCCTAGACTCAGGAGTAACGTAGGAATCAAAAAGGGTGCGCCTTTTTGGTTTATAAGGGGCTTAGAAGGGGAACCCAGCCCCAAAAAAGGGAATAAGGGCCTAAACCCTAAACCCTAAACCCTAAACCCTAAACCCTAAACCCTAAACCCTAAACCCTAAACCCTAAACCCTAAACCCTAAACTCTAAACCCTAAACCCTAAACCCTAAACCCTAAACCCTAAACCCTAAACCCTACTCTGAGTCCTAGATAAGGGTACTCTGCTACTTCGTCTAAGAAGTCTATAGAGGAACCCAGCTTTGGGGAATGTGTTGCAGCTTAGGGGTGTTTAGGGTTTGGGGTTGGTGACTTGGAGGTTTAGGTCAGCCTTAAACATTCGAACACCAAACCAATCCCGACAATTCCAGCGACGCCAGAAAACAAGCAAAATCCTAAAGCCCCAAAGCCCCCAAGCCGCAAACTCTGAAACCCCAAATCCTAACCTCAAAAACCCAGATCCTAAACCTGAAAACCCTGAAGGTGTAGGGTTTAGGGTTTAGGGTTCAGGGTTTAGGGTTTAGGGCTTAGGGCTCTTAGGGTTTAGGGTTTAGGGTTTAGGGTTTAGGGTTTAGGGTTTAGGGTTTAGGGTTTAGGGTTTAGGGTTTAGGGTTTAGGGTTTAGGGTTTAGGGTTTAGGGTTTAGGGTTAGGGTTAAGCCAAGTCACCAGCAGCAGGGGCACGACCGGGCCGCAGGCCGAGATGAGGGACGCGATCCAAAGGTTGTCGAATTTCGCATCCTCAAGGGCTGAGGTTTAGGGTTTAGGGTTTAGGGTTTAGGGTTTAGGGTTTAGGGTTTAGGGTTTAGGGTTTAGGGTTTAGGGTTTGGGGTTTGGGGTTTAGGGTTTAGGGTTTAGGGTTTATAATGGGGCATTGGCGGTTTTTCGGGCTTTTAGCGGTTTTTGCGGGCTTTTAGGGGTTTCAGGGGTTAAGGCTTTAGGGCTTTAGGGGTTTGAAAAACATTGAGTTCAGGGCGCAACCCTTAGCGCCTATGTAGCTCTAAAGACGAGCCCCCGTGAGAACCAATAGGGTTTAGGGTTTAGGGTTTAGGGCTTAGGGCTTAGGGCTTAGGGCTTAGGGTTTAGGGTTTAGGGTTTAGGGTTTAGGGTTTAGGGTTTAGGGTTTAGGGTTTAGGGTTTAGGGTTTAGGGTTTAGTGGGACTCTGACCTGTATTTCGGTGGGCGAAAACCTGCCAGTAAACCGTAAACCCTAAACACTGAACCCATATTGGTAGGACAGCAGGTATGGATACAGGAAATTCCATTGGCTGTTGGGTGCACAAGTTTCGGGCTTGCGGCACCTAGAGGGACCGAAGAGCTTCCAGGGCTTTTTCTCGACGACTTTTGGGGGGCTGGGGTTGAGGGTTTCTAGGGTCTAGGGTCTAGGGTCTAGGGTTTAGGGTTGGTTTAGGGTTTAGGGTTGAGGGTTTCTACGGTTTAGGGTCCCGCCAGAGGCTTGCATAAAGAGCCTGTAAGTGCTTAGGAGACTCGACGCTGTGAGGCCTTTTGGTTTGCGGCGGAGGACTCTTTAGAGGTTTGGGGCTTTAAAATCTTAATGTTTCTTGGGGGGGGAAGGGGGGGCTAAAACCCCACAATGTGCAGGCCCTGGGGGTTTAGGGTATCAGAGTTTAGCCCCCCCCGCCCCCCCCCCAGGATCCTCCTCGGTGGCTCCGCGCGGAGTCACGCCCAGTTGATTGAGCACGAGGGCCCCAGCATAGTTGGCGATGGCAAAGCCCAGGCTCATGGAGGCCGACAGCAACGCGTACCTCGGGGGGCAACTCTGCTTGGGGTTTCGGGTTTAGGGTTTAGGGTTTAGGGTTTAGGGTTTAGGGTTTAGGGTTTAGGGTTTAGGGGTCAGGGTGTTTTTGAAGAGCGTGCTTGGGGTCCATTGTGGATCCCCACTGCTGCGGAAGGGGCCGCCTGTTAGTAGAACATCCTTATCATCCCGCAAGGACCTCAAGGCAAGGTGCATCACTGACTCCAACCCGGACGGCACAAGCTGTGCTAGCATCACGGTCATAGGCATCCATGACAGCTGACCAAGCACAGTCTGCAAGGCATTCGATGCGAGCATGAAGATAGGGTCTGGTATACCATACTTGATATTGATGCGCTTGTAGGCCAGAACACTCAAGCCATTGGCCAGTGCATACGCAAGGCTGCTTGACGTCAGTAGCGAGCGATATGTCCAAGTTTTGGCAAATAAGTTGTAGCAGGCCGCGCCTAGCAAGCTACAGCCAGCTGCCACACAACCGATGCCCGTCACATAGAACTGGTAGGAGAAGTGCGGGCCCTCTCGATACTGCTCCTCTTAGTAGACCAGCAACCACAGAATAACAAGGTTGCACGTTTCTGGGTGTTCTTAGTTTGGGTTATTTTTTGGGTTATTTTACTACAAAGGAACCCCAAAAACCCCAAAAAGGGCAAAAGGCGTCCACTGGGCCAAACCAAGTCCTTGGTGTCGGTGAAGAAGTAGAAGGCCGCTCCGTGGGTACCGATGTGAAAGACACTCTGCAGGAAGAAGAAGCCGCTGATCTTCGCAATCCTGGGATGCTGCGAAGGAACTTCGGCTATCAGACGCTTTCCTGATACAACTTGCTTGACGCTCCCAAAAACCCTTACCAAGCCCCTACACCCCCCAACCCCCCAAAACCACCAAACCCTAAACCGCCCTCGCCTAAACCCCTAAACCCCGAAAGCCCCCCTAACTAAACCTCTCTACCTTAACAAGAAAAAAAGCAGCCCGTGGCCTCAGTGCGCAGGAAGTAGCAAAGCAGTCCCTCAACCCTAAACCCTAAACCCTAAACCCTAAACCCTAAACCCTAAACCCTAAACCCTAAACCCTAAACCCTAAACCCTAAACCCTAAACCCTCACCCAGGTGCTCAGGGCGTAGGAAGAAGCAAACCAGTCCCTGGTTCGTCAGTCCCAGGGCCAAGGCCAGCAAGAAGTTGACGACCACTGACTGCAGGGCTAGGGCTTTGGGTTTCGGGGTTTAGGGCTTAGGGTTTGAGGCTTGGGGTTTGAGGTTTAGGGTTTAGGGTTTGGGGTTTAGGGTTTAGGATTTAGGGTTTAGGGTTTAGGGTTTAGGGCTAGGGTTTAGGGTTTAGGGGGCCTGGATGAGCAAAGAGCTCACTAAGAGGCCGATCGCGGAGAGCCCCGACGCCAAGGCCAGCATGAAGGGGATGAAGCCAGAGGAGCCTTCCCCTGTTTAGGGTTTAGGGTTTAGGGTTTAGGGTTTGGTGTTTGGGGTTTAGGGTTTTGGGCGTAGGGTTTAGGCCCTCAACCAACCATGAACCGCGAGGAGGACAGGGGAAACCTGAAATTTCCCAACCCTCAACCCGCGGCAAGGTCCAAAGGGTTTAGGGTTTCGTGTTTAGGGTAGAGGGTTGGGGTTCCGTGTTCAGGGCTTGCAGGGTTTCTAAGGTATCTTGGCAATTTCAGGGCTTCTATGGCATTGTAGGCCTTAGAATAAGGAGTACAGGGCGAAGCTTGTCCTGAAGCTGGGAGGGGCAACATGGGGAGTCAGGGGAGGGTTTTGGGGGCTTTCGGCTTTAAGGAAAAGGGGGGTTTAGGGCGGTTTAGGGTTTAGGTTTTACCCTTATACCTTAGTATGGCCCCTAGGTACCCTAACAAGAGCCCCGAATATACGCCCTACAAAAACAGAAGCTCTACTCAAAGAGACCACCAACCCATATAAGTTTTACCCCACACCCCAAATCCCCAAATCCCCAACCCTCTGAGCAAAAATCCTCCGAGCCCACCTTTCCACATGCGGAGGTCCGGCCCGCACACCCGTGAGCCCATGATGCGCTCTTCTTCCAGGTGGTTGCCTTAGAAAGAGCCTAGGGGTTGAGGTTTAGGGTTTAGGGTTTAGGGTTTAGGGTTTAGGGTTTAGGGTTTAGGGTTTAGGGTTTAGGGTTTAGGGTTTAGGGTTTAGGGTTTAGGGTTTAGGGTTTAGGGGGTAGGGTTTAGGGTTTAGGGTTTAGGGTTTAGGGTTTGGGGTTTGGGGTTTGGGGTTTGGGGTTTGGGGTTTGGGGTTTGGGGTTTGGGGTTTGGGGTTTGGGGTTTGGGGTTTGGGGTTTAGGGATGTAGCGCTTAGGGCCTCGGAGCTGCTCATCCAGCACCTTGGGGGTCAGGGTTTCAGGTGTAGGGATTGGGGGGGCTCTACTATCCACTTGGCTGCCTCATGAATGTGTTTCTGGAGGGGTTTAGGGTTTAGGGTCTAGGGTTTAGGGTTTAGGGTTCAGGGTTTAGGGGGTTTAGCGTCTAGGCGCTCTTAATTCACGTGGCGACCATGGAAACACGTTTGCTTGTCTTAGGGTGGTTTAGCATTCAGGAGCACTTGACCCAAGGTTTAGGGGTTGGGGTTTGGGGCTTAGGGTTTAGGGTTCGGAAACCCTAGACCTCAAACCCTAAACCCCACAAGGTCCTAATCGGCCTGCCATGTTGCCTTTAGTAGCCCAGTAACCATATTACAATGAGGGCACCCTCTTTTGGTTGGTTACTTTATCAGGGAACCAGAACCAAACAAAAGGAAAAGCCCTAAACCCTAAACCCTAAACCCTAATACCTAAACCCTAAACCCTAAACCCCAGAAGGTCCTACGGGGCCTGCCATGTTGCGAGCCACCGGCCAGAGCAGCAAGGCAGCGAAGGGAAACGCGGCGGCGTAGCAGATTCTGGGCCCATAGCTCCTAGGGATGGCAGGGTTTAGGGTTTAGGGTTTAGGGTTTAGGTTTTAGGGTTTAGGGTTTAGGGTTTAGGGTTTAGGGTTCAGGGTTCAGGGTTCAGGGTTCAGGGTCAGGAATGCTTAACTTGCTTTTGGGTTTAGGGTATGTGATTTAGGGCTTAATTTAGGATTAGCAACAGGACTGCCGGATTGCGGGGAGATTAGGCACAAATAGGGTTTTCGGTGTTAAGTTTAAGGTTTAGGCTTTGGGGTTTTAAGTTCAGGGTTATGTTGCTAGGCCCGAAGCCGCAAACCCTAAACCCTGAGCGCCAAAACGTGACCCCCCAAACCCTAAACCCCAAACCCCAGACCCTAAACCCTAAACCCCAAACCGTTAACCCCAAACCCTAAACCCCAAACCCGAAACCCCAAACCCCAAAACCCTAAACCCCAAACCCTAGCCTCAAGAAGCCGAGGTTCTGCAGCAGCGCGCCCGCGAGGATGGTGGCGATGATGCCGAGGACCGAGATGCCGCAGGAGACGAAGGTGAGAAGATCGGGCCCTCGTTCCTTTGGCTCGTAGTAGGGGATGAGGGAATGCGGGCCCTATGTAATCCCTTAAAGGGTATATATAGGGCCCGCATTCCCTCGTTCCCTACTAAGAACCAAGGGGTTCCTTTTAGGGCTCAGAGTCTTAGAGTTTAGGGCTTCTAGTCCATGGTGGGGATCAATATGAAAAGTCTAAATTATTGGTTTTAAGTACCCTTAAAGATGTAAAATGGTACCCAACTATGACAAAGGCTTAGAGTCTTAGAGATTAGGGCTGGCTGAGGGTTTTGCAGGGTTTTGTAGGGTTTTGTACCGTCTTTTGCAGGGCTTCGTAGGGTTTAGGGATAGTAGGAGAAGGTCTGGACCTCGATCCTTCATGGGGTTTGTAGGGTGAGGTAAGGATGAATCTGCAGTTTAGGGTTTAGGGTTTAGGGTTTCGGGTTTCCGGTTGCGGGTTTAGGGTTTAGGGTCAGGGTTTCTCACTTCACTGAGTTGTCTAGGGGACAAGGCTCGCCTATGGGCCTAAAGGGGTGTAGGGGAAAGGCGAGATAGAGAGTTGTTTCAGGACTTAGGGGCCTTCGCTCTAGCAGCTGAGGTTCTGGCAATGCCTTCACCTTCTCAGAGTACTTGGCTTCGACCAGGAGGTCTGCCAGAGCCATCTGGAAGAAGATGGTGAAGAGGCATGCAGTGCTGCTTCTCATGCTGGGCGTCTCGGCGCAGGCCAGGAATAAGAACGCGCCAATCCTAGTTCATTGTTGGGACAATATTAGAAATTTAAATGCTCATTCCTTATTGGGTTTAAGTACCCTTAACAATGCAAAATGTTATGTAAAATGTTATGTAAAATGTTCCCCAACTATGACAAAGAATCGAAGCCAAGGTCGCGAGGAGCAAGTACGGCGCCTTGCGACGCCCGCACAGGGGAAAGCCATCTGAGACCAGGCCCATGAGGGCCTTCCTTGGGGACGAAATGGACCCTAATAGGGGTGTAGGGTTCATAGACCCTTAAAGTAGGGTTTAGGCTTTAGGGTTTAGGGTTTAGGGTTTAGGGTTTAGGGTTTAGGGTTTAGGGTTTAGGGTTGTAGAGGGGGCAGTACATGACCCCCCCCACCCCCCATTTTCGGGGCTCATTTGGTCCCCAAGGCTCATGGAGAAGGGCAGCCGCGCCACCGCGGTGAGAATCTGTAGGGTCGGCCCGTCCACCTTCAGCTCCTTCAGGGTGTTTAGTGTTTAGGGTTTATAGGGTTTAGGGTTTGGGGTTTGGGGTTTAGGGTTTAGGGTTTAGGGTTTGGGGTTTGGGGTTTGGGGTTTGGGGTTTGGGGTTTGGGGTTTGGGGTTTAGGTGTTTAGGCTTCAGCTCCCGGTAGGTGAACTCCATGGCGTGGTTGATCAAACCGCCTTGGGGACGAAACGAACCCTCAAAGGGTCTAGGGTCCACAGTACCCTTAAGTAGGGATGAAGTAGTATAGGGTATGACCTACTCAACAGAGACTATAGTAGTACAGGGTATATAATCATCCTATGATAGTGGTACAGGGTATATGACCCCAATTTTGGGGGCTCCTTGCGTCCCCAAGGCGCCGCCGAATCCATTCAAGAGGTGGTGCGTCAGGAAAATCGTGAGCAGCAGGGAGCAGCCGAAGGAGGAGCAGAAGGAGGGCCTCCGCGCATCCTCCGCAAAGGCCGCCATCGCTCAGCTGCGGCGGGATTCTAGGAGTTCTGCCTTGGACCCTTTTGGGTTTTGGGGCTCCCTTCTTAAGGATCCCTAAGGGAATATAAGGGCCGTAGTCGGAGTATATTAAGGGGAAGCTTTAAAAAGGGCCCCCAAAACCCAAGGGTACGACCTGGAGGGTCCAAGGTAGAAGCCCTAGAATGGCTGGATCAGACGCGAGCCCTGACTAAGCTGCCCGCTCTTGCGGGGAGAAGATGCTGTGAACGCTGGCTTCAACGCACCCTGAACCTTATCCTAGCGGTCCTAACTGGCATACTCGTTCCGTGTGGACCCCAACTTCCTAAGCTAACCCTGCCGCCCTCCAAACCCGGAACCCTAAACTCCAAACCCTAAACCCTAAACCCTAAACCTTAAACCCTAAACCCTAAACCCTAAACCCTAGCCAATGCACCAGCATTGAGCCATGCGCAGATGCGGTGCACCGAAAAGTCTAATCGCCGATTCAGGGTTCAGGGTTTAGGGTTTAGGGTTTAGGGCTAGGGTTTAGGGTTCAGGGCTCTAGGGGAAGTTTAGGGTTTAGGGTTCGAGATTCGGGTGCCGGGTTATATGAGGCATGGGGGGGCCATTTTTTCAAGCATGCCAACGCCAAGGCGCCTTGCATCAGGTCTCTGAAGAAGACGCCACTGCCACTTCTAGGGTTTTAGGGGTTTAGGGTTAGAGCTTAGGGTTTGGGGTTTGGGGTTTAGGGGTTTAGGGTTTTAGGGGTTGAGGGGTTTAGGGGTTTAGGGGTTTAGGAGTTTAGGGGTTTAGGGATTTAGGGGTTGAGGCGCTCCCTTCCGAAATGGCAAGTCGCAGAACAGGAGTCCTGGGTAAGCTACAAACCGATGTAGGGTTTGGGGTTCAGGGTAGCCCATCCCGCCAAAGCAACCCCTAAACCCGAAAGCCTGGACGCCAAACCCTAAACCCCAAACCCTAAACCCTAAACCCTCAGCCCTAAACCCTCAACCCTCAACCGTAAACCCTAAACCCTAAACCCTAAACCCTAAACCCTAAACCCTAAACCCTAAACCCTAAACCCTAAACCCTAAACCCTAAACCCTAGCCCTAAACCCCAAACCTTAGACTCCTAACCCCAAAACCCCAGAGCCCCAAAAGCCCTTCCAGTGGCCATCGGCTGAAGGCCTTCGCCATCGACGGCCCAGAGATTGCCCAGCAGGCCAGCATTGCGCACCTTCCCAGGTTTAGGGTTTAGGTTTAGGGTTTAGGGTTTAGGGTTTAGGGTGTAGGGTGTAGGGTTAAGGGTTTAGGGTTCGGGGTCTAGGGTTCCCAGTTTTGTGGGGTTGAGGGTTTAGGGTTTTGGGGGTTTCGGGTTTAGGGTTTAGGGCTGAGGTTTAGGGCTTAGGGGAGTAGACCTAGTTGCTGAGTACCTGGCCCAAAAAAGGTTTCACCTTTCAATTACTGGGTGGATTGTATATAGCCCCAGAAGGTTAAAGGTTATCTACTCAGCTACTAAGTTGTACGGGTCCCTGGCTAACCCCAAATGGTGACCATACTTTTGCCAAGATAAACCATGGTTTACCCAGCCCGCTTCTGCTTAAGTCAGTTTTCACGAGGACCCCATTCTAACACATGCAAATAAGCTGATAAGGGTGCGAAACCCAAAACCCTAAACCCTAAACCCTGAACTCGAATTAAACCCTCAACCCTAAACCCTAAACCCTAAACCCTAAACCCTAAACCCTAAACCCTGAACTCGAACTAAACCCTCAACCCTAAAAACCCTAAACCCCAGAACCGAATCTCGAATTAAACCCTAAACCCTACAAACCCTTATTCCCCGAGAGCCATGGAAGCTCCAGCACCCTAAGCCCTAAACCCTAAACCCCAAACCCTAAACCCCAAACCCAAAACCCTAAACACGTACCTCTGGGACCGGCAAGATCCCGAAGGGCCACCCAGCTGCTGTCGAGCCAAAGGAAGAAAGGCGCGTTGGCGAAGAGGGTGTTCAAGGGCTTTCGGGTCTAGGGCTTGTTGGCGTTCGGGGTTTTGGGGCTTTGGGCTAGCCCATGGGAATGTAGAGTTCAGGGTTCAGGGTTTAGGGCTTCCGGGTTCTGGGTTTAGGGTTTAGGGCTTAGGGTTTGGGGTTTAGGGTTCAGGGCTAAGGGGTGTGTGGGTTTTTGGGGTCTACGGGGTGGGTGTGGGTTTTGGTGGTCTAAGGGGTGGGTGTGGGCTTTTGGGGTTTAGGGTTCTTTGGCTTTGGGCTGTTTAGGGTGTTTTGAGCTTTCGGGTTTCGGGGTTTAGGGATTGAGGGCCTCGGGGCGAAGGTGTGTCTGAGGGTGTGTGGTGTTGCAGTTTAGGGTTCTTGGTTCAGGGTCGATGCAGGGTTCGGGTTGAGGGCTACAGATGGTGTTGGGTTTAAGGAGTTCTTAGGGTTTAGGGTTTCGGGTTTAGGGTTTAGGGTTTAGGGTTTAGGGTTTCGAGTTTAGGGTTGAGGGTTGAGGGTTGAGGGTTGAGGGTTTGGGGTTTAGGGTTCAGGCTTTCGAGCTTGAAGTTTAGGGTTAGCAACCCTGAGCCTGCTGCCCTCCTAGAAAAAAAGGGTGCCCTTCGTGGTGTAACGGGTTTATAAATAACGGAACCCAAACCCCAAGGGTTTAGGGTTTAGGGTTTAGAGTTTAGGGCCTACTCCGGGTCCTAGACTCAGGTGGAAGCTCCGAGGTTTCAACTGAAGCACTAAAGCTGACAACCTAAGCCCAAAACCCCAGAAAACCTGGTGAGCCCCTCTATCAATCCTAGAGAACCCACCCCAAGGACCCTAAACCCTAAACCCTAAACCCTACTAACCCTACTAACCCTACTAACCCTACTAACCCTACTAACCCTACTAACCCTACTAACCCTACTAACCCTACTAACCCTACTAACCCTACTAACCCTAAACCACTTATGAGCCCCACGCCGCTCCGGGGGAAGAGGGTCAGTTCTCCTGACTATGGCCTCCTTACGGGTTTAAGGTTCAGGGGTTTAGGGTTTAGGGTTTAGGGTTTAGGGTTTAGGGTTCAGGGTTTAGGGTTTAGGGTTGAGGGTTAGGGTTAAGGCCCAAAAATAAGAATCGTCGGATGTAGAGTTCGGGCTCTAGGGTTCAGGGCTTACAATGAGAACGACAAGATGGTGGTTTTTTACTGAATAGTTACATCTGGTTGTTATGCAAAGACTGGGCGATACAACCCTAAACCCTAATAACCCGAAACCCTAAACCCTAAACCCTAAACCCTAAACCCTAAACCCGATGCCAGGACAAGAAGGGCAAACAGCAGCAACCCGGCCTGCGCGCGCCACCTTCTGCTGCCCTGGCTCATGGGATCCTATGCCTCCCCTGCCTTAAGGCCCGCCCCCACCCCTAGGGGATAGGATTAGGGGGACCCTTGGGGATATAGACCCTCTGAATAAGGTCCCTGTTTAAGAGAGCCAGAAGAGGGTTAAGAAGGGGTTCCATTTTAAGGGCCCCCCTTCTCCTACCTAGGGAACACCCCCCCCCAACCTCAACAATTATCAAATATGCAACCTTGACAATCATCAAATATGCGGCTTGAGAGTATGTGGGCTTCCGGAAACCTGAGCTCTGCACCCCAAAATCCCCAACCCGAAGCCTTAAACCCTAATGCGCAAAAAACCCTGAAGTCGACAAGGCTTGTGGAAGGGCTGAGGGTTTGTGGCTTGAACCCTAAACCCTAAACCCTAAACCCTAAACCCCAAGCCCTAAGCCCTAAACCCTAAACCCCAAACCCCAAACCGCAAACCCTAAACCCTCCGGAGCCCAGCGGCGTCCACGGGATGCAGCTGCGCCGAGCGCGAGGACTCCCGCAGCCGCCACCGTGGTGCTGGCGACCTCGGTTGTTAGGGGAGCCCCTTGGGGGTTTGGGGTTTAGGGTTTGGGGTTTAGGGTTTAGGGTTTAGGGCTTGGAGTTTCAGGTTTAGAGTTTAGCACAGCTCGCAGCTTGCGGCCGCAGCGGCTCCGGAGGAGGTGCCCTGCACCTGCGCCCGGCCCTGGCCGCGGAGAGAGGCCGAGACCTCCCAGACCGGGGTTTAGGGTTTGGGGTTTAGGGTTTGGGGTTTGGGGTTTAGGGTTTAGGGTTTAGGGTTTCGCCAGCTATGCAGCCACGGCGCTGCGCCGTCGGTGGCCACCGGCGCGGCGGTGAAGGCCTCTGATGGGAATTTGTGTTTCTTCTTTTGGTTTGTGGGGCGGGGGGGGGATCTTAGGGTTTGCTAATTTTGACGGT